GCTTTGGGTTCCTTTTATCTGACAAGTCTGTGCTTCTTCTTTCCACAGGACAACCAGCCTACAGGTCGAACAAATGCAAGTGTTCCCACAGCCTCCTGAGCAGGGTCAAACTGCGGAGCATCCAGAAGGAACCAGTGGTTTACCAGCCCAGTACCTTCTGCACACAATATGAGATCATGTAGGTCTACATCTTAGTTTCTGAGTGATGCAAAGCTGACATCCGCTCTGCAGTTTTCCTCTGTCGGTCTCTAATAGGCTCCTTCTGTGCTGTTTCTCTTCCTCTAGTGTTAAAGTGGCAGACAAGGAGAAATGTCTGGATCCAAAGTCACACATTGGACAGCTTATTCTGAACCGACACAAAAACAAGTAAGATCAGCTGAGAGGCTCCATCTTTGAGGAGTTTCTGTGCTCTGATATTGTGACTGTTTGGGAAATCTCTGCTGTCATTCTGACCGTCTGTGGTGTTGGTTTAGGCTCAGGAAGACTGAAGCTGTGCAGACGACAACGGCTCCAGCTCAGAGCTCCACGACGAAGCAGGCGACATCCAGACAGTAGATCTCTGAGCTCAGAGCTGACAGCAGGGTCCTCCATCTCTGCTCCTCCATCTCTGCTCCTCTGGTTCACAACAAAACACTGTAAATATGATAAGCTGCTAGAAATGAACCATGATGGCCAGTTTCCTGCTATTTTATATTGTTTTATACTTTATTTTGAAAGTAATTTTTTTATGTACAGCTCTAAGTAATAGTTTTCTACTATGGAAAATAAAGACATTTTTTCCTGACTTCATGTGTCGACTTGTTTTAATTGATCATGGGGAGTGGCGGCCTCATGGTTAGGGCATAGAGTTTGAAATCCTGAGGTTGTGAGTTCGAAACCCACTCCGGCTCTTTGAGCAAGACCCTTTACCCCCGATTGCTCCCCAGGCGCCCACTGCTCCCCAAGGGGATTGGTTATATTTAGAGGTAAATATCTCCAGTGTGAGATCAATAAAGTTCAGTTAATATTATTATCATGCTAACATTTGGAGGCTTTTCTAGCCAGCCGAATGGTAGCCCACTCCCGTCCAACTCTCAGCAGAATCCCCTCCAACTTCCAACCACTGGCCTTCTCCTGGGCATGATCTTTTCACTGAATTACAGGGTCTGACCTGGAGATGACGCTTTTCTTTAGATCTTAATGTCCACTAATCATGACAGCAAGAATATTTAAGTACAAACATGTATGTTTAAATAGGAATTGTAGAGGACCAGCCAAGGACCAGCGACGGGCCCATTAAGGAAAGTGGGGAAATTTTTAATGGCTACTATTGTATGTGATTAATAAAAGATCATCAAGGTAACTGTACACTAACCCAAGGGTTTTGATGAATGCCTTAGATACCCCCACCCCTGTCTACAGATCTCTGGTTACAACAGCTTCTTTCAGCAGACTGGGCGCTCTGTCCTCTGAGCTTTGCTCACAAGGGTCACAATAGAGCAGCTTTTTGTGGAAAGCTGGCTTCAAACCGTGGAAAAGTAAAGAGGAGAGAAGAAAAACTTTTTGAATTCTATTGTGGATTTAATAATTAGTTAAAGTAGGAGTAATATGGCCTCTTCTTTCAGTTCTCTACCTGCAGCACATTGGATCTGCTAAACTATTAATGGATATTTTGTCGAAATTTTACAATTCAGTTTGAAGTACTGAACGCATTGACTAGTTCCCTGCAACATCCTCTGTATATTTCTACTCAAAACCATTATGAACTGGTGGAAAAAGTCCTAGAAGGCTGTTTTCAGTGAAAATAACAGACATGCCTTGGTGGAAGCTAACCCAGTCCACAATGCCTTCCAGCTACAGTCCAACTCCTCCTGCTCTACAATCCAGGTCTCTTCCCTTCCTTCTTTAAACACACCTTTATTTTGAATGGGGCGCACCCTTCAGAGCCGGTTTGACCTGCCAGGAGTGAGCAAATATTTGATAGAGAAAGGCTCCAGTTGCTGAACATTGTTGATAGAGACGTTAGCTGTTCAGGTGCTGCGTTTAAACACAGAGTCAGAGAAAGGTAAGACCTAACAGCCAGGATTTTATCTAGAGCATTGTCTGTGTAATATGTATACATGTATCATGCATCTGCTTTCTACACTACTAAATGGATCCCGTTCAGGATGTTCTATGTAGTCTTAAAAAAATCTATCTTTTCTTGTACCAAAGCTAATGAAGAACTATCTTTATGTGTTTCTTCTAATCCATTTGCGGTAAGTTTCTGTCCCTTTCTCCCAGTCTGTTCTAATTCAGCTCATTCAGGGAGGAGCCGTCTCAGTCAGAAAATTTTTTAAACAGCTGTTGTTGCCAGGTATGTGAGACTGTTAGTGTGAGTCTTTCTGTCATGTCTGGACATACCCGTTCTTCTTGGTGTCTTTGTCAAGTTCCCCTTTGACAGAACAGCAGGATTTCATCCTGAAAAATCTCTGTCTGCACATATAGATCCATCAGGCTCTTTAAATCGGAGGTCTTCAACAGGGGCTCCACGACCGCTAGGGGGTCCACAGAGGTACTACATGGGGGTCGCGAAAGTTTTGGTTGATTAGACTTTATTTTTTATATTCCCCCCCTGCAATTTTTTCCACTAATTGAAATATCTTTACATAAACATTAAAATGAAATCAACACACTGTAGTAAACAGATAAATGGAGGCAGAAGATGTCTTTCAGTAATCAATGCAAACATTAAGCGACACACGGGAGCTCTTTCAAGTTGGCCGCCTTTTCATTCACAACACCTGTCCCATCAACCAGGAATCCCAGGGAGAAATTACTTTTGTTACATGACTCCATCTGTAATAGATTGACTGTAGCACTAGTTTGATATAACACAATTTCAAACAATATATATAATTAGGGGTCCCCGCTCCATCTCGTTATCAGTTTGGAGGTCCTTGGCCTGGAAAATGTTGAAGATCCCTGCTTTAAATACATTTGATGCCACTAAACTTAACCAACTCATAGGTTATCAGATCTGCCCTTAGAAAAAAAAGGGAAAATTTTAATCAGGTTATTAAATCTAGTAAAGATCAGAGGGAAAGATGAGTGGATCCTGGCCGCATAACACAGAGAACCCTTTGCAGCTGAGTTGGCCCCCTCAGGTGCACCTCAAGTGTGTTCCAGGATACGCTAGCTGAAAAGCGCCATAATCAGCAGAGGGAAAGGCCTCGGCTGGACCGTCCATCTCGGCACGAGTGCCCATATCACCAGGAAGGGAAATTTCTGAGGGCTGTGGTGGAGCAGCTCAAAGCCTTACTCAAGGTTTCAGTCCCCAATTCTGTTCCCCAAGAGGCATCCAGGGAATTGGAGGAGGGGACCTGGAGGAGGATACAATCTCCGTGAGGGCCTCCTATTCAGAGTTCCAGTCCCTGGGGGAGCAAGGAGATCCCTTCCCCGACCCTCGTGGGCGGGAGTTGGAACCCCTAGAGTTTGGAAGGTCAGGATGGTTTGGGAAATTCTCTCAGGAGTTCAGTTAGCTCTGACCCAGTGTAGGACCCATGTCAGCTGCACGCGATTATTATGGCAGCCTTGGTCAGAGATGGCTTGGATGACACTCAAACATCCCGTACTGCCGGAAATCCCTTTTTCTGCAGGGCCCCAGTAGTGCCTCGTTCAAGGTTCCTCCGTCTCCAGCCATCTTAGAGGAGCTTCAATGCTGTTGGTCAGATCCTAGGCACCTCTCCCACCATGGTAAGGATGCATGATCTATGTGCAACCCTGCAGACTATGTTCTGGACCACATGCCCCCAGTGGACCACTGCATTGCCCCTCTGGTTCTTTCCCCAGTTGAGGCACTGAAGAAAACAGCCAGGTGCCCAGTGTCGGGTGATGGAGGACTTTTTGTGCAAAGCATACACACAGCTCACTTAGCACTCATCGGGAACTTGCTCTCCGTTCTCCTGCTGGCTCAGTCCCAGGTGCTGCAGGTGGGCATGGCAAGGGCAGCATTGGTTAACACTAATGGTGCATCGCTGCAGGCCTATAGGCTCATGTCGAGGGAGCTGGGTCACCTTTTGTCCAATTGGTGATCACAAGACATCTGGTCTATGGACACAAGCCCTGATCTCTGACGACTGTAGGCATTGCTGACGTAGGCTGTGGAGTTGCCAGGCCAGTTGTTTGTACCAGATGCAGAGAGGGCACTGAAACACTGTCTGCAGTCTAGCCAGGCCCCTGAAGCTTAGTGTGGTCTCAGTGGTACCATGGGACCCCCGCTCCACAATGGAAACATGACATACGGGAGCCGCAGTGTCATTTTCGGAACGTTGCTTCTCCACAGCTTTGGCAGCGGAGCCGAGCGTTGCCTGGAGCTTGGCTGGTTAAAGTGGCTATAGGGGTGGTTCCACCACATCTGCAGGATAAAGGTTTCTATTCCACCTATTTTCTAATTCTGAAAAAAAAGACGGTTCCCTACGTACTTTGTGTCTATGTCATCCTAGCACTGCATGTCTCCAGCCCATAACATCATCAGCGACCCTTAATGCCCCCACCATGGACAGTGCTCTTTTTTGCCCTCTGGGAAGAGACTTTACAGCATTCCATGCAGGACCAGCAGCTTTTTCCCCGGTGTCATAAATCAAACTCTGTATCACACTGATAACATCATACTTGCATTAAATGGTGAATATTCAAAATAGAACTCAACAAAAATGTTTTTTACTGCATTTTGCACTCTGTGAATAAAAAATGACAATAAATATGTTGAAGCTTAAGTCTGAAAACGACCTTTATGCTGGCTGTAATGACAGCCAAAAGGTTCAGTGAGCTCTGTGTACTGGCCATCATTCTTCGTTGGAAGGTTGGTGGTTCTGGAGTGACGTTGTGGCCAAACATTGTCTTTCTTGCCAAGGTTTCCCCATAGCGTACATTGGCTCAGCCATTTAACTGGCAGCCTACTGCCTGCCCCAATTCCAGTGGGATGAATAGAGGTTGGCGAACACACTGTACCTGGTCCCGGCATTGCAGCTGTACATTGTGGCAGCTGTTCGTGTGCCACAGTAGGCAGAAAATTGGGCAGGCTGTTGCATTAGGTTGTGGATGCCATTGCGCTGGCTTAAAGATCTGTAGGGGCAGCTGCCTCCTCCGGTGTTTTGTGCCATTCTACCAGGAGTGTATCTACGTCCTGGACGGTAATGAGGGACGTGCCACAGGGGCACAGCTATGCGTCGGCATCGTAGGCGACACATGCACATTTTAATACTTCTACAAGGATGGATGCGAGTATCTCTGCTTTTTTCAGTATCTCTGCTTCTGTCTCCTTGAACCCCAGTCGGCCTCAGCAGATGGCTGCTCTCACTGAGCCTGGTTCTGCTGGAGGTTTCTTCCTGTTAAAAGGGAATTTTTCCTCTCCACTGTCGCTACAAGCATGTTTGGTGTGAGGGATTGCCTTAGAGTCAATGAGTCGATGCAATCAACTGGTTTTCCTTAGATAGAAAACTTGAAAATCTATTTGACTGTATGATCTGGTTGAATTGTAAAGTGCCTTGAGATTACATGTGTTGTGAAATGGTGCTATAGAAACAAACTGAATTGAATTGAATCCTGTTTATCTCATGGGAGATAAAGTTGAGGAGGTGGAGGAGTAAAAATGTCTTGTTTACTTGTAAACATATTGTCCCCTGCATTTTTTTACTGTCCAAAACCATGTAACACTAGAGTACACAGACATTCGTCGAGCACTAGGACCAACTAAAACTGAAGCCTGCTTCCCTAAGTTTAGACCGCCCACAAGCTCCTGATTGGCCCATCGTCTTTTGTTGTAGGATTGGCTTTCACTGCTGTCACTCTTGAGAAGCTCACTTTACATTAGCTGATGAATTGGGTCTGTGATTGGATGGTGAAACATGCTGAAGTTAATAATATTACGGTAAAAGATACTCGTATTCCCCCCCACTTCTGAAATGAGAATTTTGTCCATGCCACAAAGAAACCATAACTCTGCTTTGAGAACTCATCCTACTTTACAACTTGGCAACAATTAACGCCTTAATAAAATTTATAACCTCCTAATATCTGCCCTGAGTTTCTCACATTTGTGGAATGTCATTCAAATCTCTAAAACAGTGGTGTCAAAAATTCATTCCTAAGGGCTGCCATCTGCCATGATGAAATTGCATTTCAAGAAAGAAAAACAGCAACAGTGGATTATAAAGCTAAGCTGAGCCAAAAGGATCAAGTAACTAGCAGTTTTCTAGAAAAGTATTGGAGTAGAAAGTACAATATTTAACTTTGAAATGCAGTGGAGTGAAGGTTATAAGCTACCCTCCAAAAAATTACTCAAGTAAACACACTCAAAGAAAAAAAAGTAGTTAAGCACAGTAAGCAAGTAAATGCACTGAATGTAACACAAGTGATGCAAATATTTGATCTAATTTAACTTAATCGACTATGGTGTTTTTGTTTTCCTTTTTTTTTTTACGATGTTTGACAACTCTAGTATGAGAAATTTTTTTATACAAATGTTTAATGGTTTATGATTTAAAGGCTAAAAACAGGCAGTCTTACACAGATACATTTTTGCAAAAGGGAAAATGTCTTTCAGTGACCCGTCAATCCCTCCTTACACAGTTAGTTCAGTTTTAAATTCACAACGTTTTTCATGTTATGATCTTTACATGGGCCTATCAAGTCACATTTAATAAAAATGTTTTAGAAGAATTATACATCATGATAAAGGAAAAGAAAAAATGTTTTACCTCTTTTCCCCCTTATTTTTCTCCTATTTCTTAGGCCCCCTCTAGTGCCCCCTGGTGGGTACAACTTTGGAAACCACTGTGCTTGGTAAAGAAAATGAGGCAGTCTTATTTCAGCCAATCAGAGAAAAGTTCTTGCTTTTCAGTGGGATGACTTCAAATTCAATGATGACTGCAATGACTTTTCAATGACTTTGTTTGATCCGCTGCTCCGGGGCGACAGTGGCATTGGATGTAGGAGTTTGCCCTGAAATTGAAGGATTGACGGTTCAAGCCCCGGCTCTGACTTTCAGTGTTGTTGTGTCCTTGGGCAAGACACTTCACCTGCATTGTCTACTGATGGTGGTCAGAGGGCCCAGTGGCGCCAGTGTACGGCAGCCCTGCTTCTGTCAGTGAGCCCCAGGGCAGCTGTGGCTACAATGTAGCTTGCCACCATTAGTGTGTGCGTGAATGGGTGAATGACTGAATGCAGTGTAAAGCGCTTTGGTCAAGTCTCCTGACTTGAATAAAGGCGCTATATAAGTACAGGCCATTTACCATTTAAACATGAACCCTACCTGCCAAGGTATGATTTGCATCAAAAACAATTTAACACAACATTGACAGGATAAAAACAGCTCCACACACATTCTGCTGGAGGTTTCTTCCTCTTCAAAGGTTTTCCTCTCCACTGCATGCTCAGTGTGAGGGATGGCTGCAGAGTCAATCAAAAAATGCAAGTTACTGTCTACTGTCTCCTGTCTCTACCTGCATCCAGGAGGAGTTAATCCTGCAAAGTCCATGACTGGATGCAATGAGATGTTTGTTCTTAGATAGAATACCTTTGATCAATCTGTCTGGATGATCTGATTAAATTGTCTCTTAGAAGCACATTGAAACGACATGTTTTTAATTTCACATTTAATCATTCAACCTAATGATAAATCATTCTGCATTATTTAATCAATTTTTAAAAAAATCATTAGTGCTCCACATGTGGTCTGAGAAAAAATACTCTGTATGTATATGTATTTAATGAGACTAACAAGAAAATTATGGGGTTGTAATAATCAAGGGTTGCAACAATTCATCCCTGTACTATGACTGGCTGCATGGCAAATGAATTATTTGAATTAGAATATAAAGAAAGATATGAAGTTTTTATTGGAGGACTGTTTAGACCTCTTCTTTCTAAACTACAAAAGGGATTGTTCATTTATTCAATTCTTTAGAAAATAGAGGGATGAAAACAACCTCTACTGACACCAGCTAATACACCTGTTTAATGGAGACCACTATCCAATAAAATATGATTATTGATTCTCAGTTATTATTAAGTGGGAACAAATAGTTGTGTTGTTTGAGTTCTTTATTGTAGTTTTGTTTGGACATTTACATGCATTGTTGTGAAGCAGAAGGACCGTTCCATCCTGCCGGTGGAAAAAAAGTGTAACCATTAACTTCTCCTTTAGTTTATCAAGGTAAGGTAAGGTAAGTTAACATACCTGGTTTGGCTCCTCAGCAGGGCGTGGCAGAAGTGCTCCAGGTGCTGTTTAAATTCTCTTGGACCAAACCAAAATAATCAGGAGGGTAGTTTTGGATGAGTTATGTTAAATTTAATGGGGTTTTTGTGATCGACTTTAGATTTGTTTAATTGCTTTGATTTGTATGTATGTAAATATCTAATGGGTGCATAGTTTATTGTTGTTGTGTAGATTTGCATGAATGGTAATTTTGTTTCTTTTTCTTGATAATGCCTTTTCGTAGTTTCTTCCTTCATGTCACCTGAATTGAGCTTGAGTTGGTGTGCACAAGCTGAAGTCAATTAAGCCACCCAAATGTCAGCTTAGTCTTGCCTCTCAATTAAATATTTGGCCTCCGCTGGTCAAGCTGACAACCTGTTATAGTTTATTCTTTAGGTAGAAGAGACTTGGATTGGATCTGCCGGTTTCACGGCTTTCTGGTGTAGCCCACCACCCATCAGTCCACCCTTACAGTCATGTTTTTACACTGTCGTCACAGATGGCAGGGGACGACTCCGCAGGCAGACCCAGAGCTGCCAGGCGAGCTCGATGGTGGCAGCTCAGTCAGAGGTGGAGGATGGTGGGAGTTTTTGAAATCGACAGCAAACATGAGTTCTACTCTCTGACCTCCATGATGAAGGAAGGCCTGCAGGCCTGCATCCAGAACACAGAGGAGCAGGTAAGAAGCATGAATACTGAATTATTGGAATCACACTCTAGTCATCGTGTCATCGTGTCAGTCATGAACATTAAAGCTTTTTTTGCACAGGATTCACTCACAGATGCACATTTCAAGACTGAGGACGTTCAACAATGTAAGGTAGGAGATCATTCTAACTTAAAGGTTCAGCATTTAGATGGATTCTACATCCAAATGATTTTGGAGGAAAAACAAAATGAAAATCAGTTTTTCCACCAGGGGTTTGAGATGCATGCGTTTGCAGCACCGGTGTTCTCTGCACTGAGGCGTTCACTTGACATTAGTGAGCAGGAATTTCTGGACTCCCTCTGCTCCGACGCCAACTACCTTCAGTTTATCAGTAACTCCAAAAGCAAGGCGGATTTCTTCCTCACGTAAGTAGCATCTGCATCTTCACTCATTGACACTTCCTCAGAGGACCAGAACCAGTGTGGGGTGCTGTGCACATCCTTTTAATAAAATAGATAATTAAAACTGCTTTTTGATCAATGCATCTGCAAAGATTTTACAGATGTAATGATATGTAACCAGGGCCAACCCAAGCCTCCATCAAAAAAAAAAAAGCTGTTATATGTGGACGTGTTGTATATACTGTAAATATTCCACGCATGTTTTTCTTCCTTTGGCACCTTCTTCTTCTCCTTTGACTATCTGATCTGATGTAACAAGTAAATTTCTCCACAGTGAGATCAATAAAGTCAATCAGTCAATCAATCTAACTAATTTGGGGGGCCTCTCTTCTGCCAATTATATAGATTCCTGCAATCGAGAGTCAGACGATTGCTAATTCAGAAAATTACTATAAACTCATATATAAAACTATGACAAACATATACAATGGCTTTGATCACTGAAAAACAGATAAAACAGAACATAATTAAATCAAACAATGAAACATCAAGCATTATGAAAAAGGAAATAAAATTATTTTTAATTGAAAAGGAAAAGAAAATTAAATTTAAAGTCAATAATCATTCCCTAAAAACTATGTAAATATCTGTTTTTATATTTAAAACCTCTATTTAAAAACATAATCTACCTCTATGCACACAAATGACTTTTTCTGTCACACTTTTGTTCAATACCGTTTGCAAAGTCACTGATGGCATCACTGTAAGAGATCTGACTGACACTTTCTCACTGATTGTTTGTTCTTCTTACATTTGAATGAAAAAGTTCTGCCCTGCAGATGCAACAGTCACAGAAGGGGTGCAGCCACCTGCTGAGCAAAGATTTGGTTAGAACTCACATCTCATTGTAAGAGATAAGAGAGAAAATGACTTCATCTGTGCTTTAGGACATCTAGAAGCTTCCATCTCCAGACTCTGATTGTGATGTTAAGCACGGACACAAAACCCCAATGTGGATATATTTTCAAGATTTTGATCAAACGTCTCTCTGCTTCACTTTAACAGTTTCGCTTTTGTGATCTAGGAACAAAAAAGCAGATTTACCGAGCCAAATGAGAGTCTAACATCTGTGCTGCAAAGCCTCTTCAAGGCACATTAGATCCTGGTTTTGCCATAGTGACCTCATTTTTACTTTTTATTCTTTTTTCAGAAAGAGCATATGAAAGCAGATTTTATGTTTTAATTAGCCATGTAATTTCTTTTATTTAAAAAAAAAAAGATTAGTTCATTAAAAATGAATCCGGTAAAGCAGTGGTTTAAGAGAAAAAAGTAACTGCTGGTTTTCCCCTAAAGTTTTACACACATGACAGAAACAAAGGTAAATGTTTTATACAGATCTACTTATGAATTGTCTAAATTCACACAAACTACATGAGTTGCCAGTCACAGTATTAACCTTAGGGAATTTAAAAAATTAAAATTCAATTAAATCCTCATTTAGATCAAATAGAGTTATCTTGTATGGAAGTAATTGCACCAATGTTGGTGCCAACCATCCATCCACTCATCCATCCACAGGCACAGTAAAGCCTGGACAGGTCACCAGTCTATTCCACAGTGTTGGTGCAAAATTAGCATTTTTTTCTATTTATCTAGTGCTGCTGTTTTCAAGAATTAATATTGAGAAGATATTTTGGAAATAAAGAGAAACAAACTAATAAATATTGTATTTCGGCTTATTTCCAGCTGGTGGCACTGCACAATATTAATGCTGAGAGCCTGACAGACCAGACTAGATGACACAGAGATAATTTAACGGTTTTTACCTTTCCTCTGTACATTCAACAAGCATTTTATAGGGTTGGAATCAGGTTAATATTTTCAGAGTCCGACCTCTGTTTCCTTTGGTAGTGAAGGAGTGCTCAGAGCTCTGCTTTTATCATTCAACTCTGCTCCAGATACCTTTTGGAGCCAGGTTAACATCACAGAAAAGAATCTTTTACTCCACGACTCCTCACTTATCAGCCACATAAATGTATGGCAAGCATTTAGAATCAACTGGTTTAACTTGGTGTTATATTATGATACTGAAAATCAGCTACATTCCGTTATGTTTTAATACATTATACTAAAAGCTGTACACTGTGGAGAGATTGGGGCCAGCTATAAAAAAGTTCAAGTACAATGATGGTGTATGGCCTAGTGGTACTGTATACCATTGCAAACGGATCCACCGATTTAATGGAGATATTAATGCCTTCCACCTGAGAGAGATTTTAGGAAAAACAACCAAAGTACCAACCTAAGCCCAGTGGGAAGAAGAGTCCTGTCATAATGTGAAAGTTGAAGGTACCTTTGACTCCAACCTTTTGGCATTTTTTAATCATGAGCTGATGATCAGCATCTGCCCTCAGGACTTCTCTGGATCCCGTTGTTCTGATTCTGTGAATGATTTGGTCACTAATGTTTGTAAAGACAAAAAATTATTTATAGAATGACGTAAGAAAGTAAAGAGGGAGAGACAAAAACATTGGTGATCATTTGTAGACAGCTTTTTATATATGGACTCTTAGTTATTTGTGCTTCATGTCATTGATAGAAATGATAAAAGGTTTTTCCTGAAGACCCAGAATGAGCGAGAGATCAGGTTCCTACTGTCTAACCTGCCGGCGTACATGGAGCACCTGGAGAAATACCCTCATTCACTGATGGTGCGGTTTCTGGGTACGAGTACATTTTCACTTTTCCTCTTCATTCAATTCAATTCAGTTCATCTATATAGCACCAATTCGCAATACATGTCATCTCGAGGCAATTTGCAATTCACCAGATCATCCAGTCAAATTGATTCAAAGTTTTCTATCTAAGGAAAACCAGTTGATTGCATCGACTCGAATGCAATCCCTAAGCATGCTTGTAGCAACAGTGGAGAGGAAAAACTCTCTTTTAACTGGATGAAACCTCCAGCAGAACCAGGCTCTGTGTGAGCGGCCATCTGCTGAGGCCGACTGGGGTTCAAGGAGACAGAAGCAGAGATACAAAAGGCGACTGTAAAAGGAGGCCCGGTCCAGGAAACAAACAGACGAGCTTTGAGCCAGCTCCCATGTCAGAGCATGAAGGGAGAACATCCAGCCAGTCACAGTCAGAGAAACAGGACTACACTGAAAAACAGGCCCATCTCCAGCATCTATAAACAAAGGTGTTGATGGCAGCAGCACAGCTGATATTTCTCTCTAGGATGGAGTCACAGCCAAACAGCTACAGATCAGATGAAGCTACTATGAGAAAAAGCAGAGAGAGCAGAACGTTAGAGATTAGACTAACACATTCTCTAGAAAGGGGGAATAGAGATAGAATGATGAAATAGGGGTCCCTATGTCTTCCAGAAGTCTAAACCTACAGCAGCATAACTATATCATCTTCACCTTCATAGTAGAACACAGAATGCTCCTGTGTTACTGCTGAACATCAGTTTAGGGTGAAGAATCAGGCTTAATGTCTCCATTAGTCTCATTTTCAGTTAGATGCTGCTTTTGCTTTGCTTTTAGCCATTATACCGTAATTTGTCCTCCATTAAAGCTCAAACTTTCGCCAGAATAATCCTCACATGTTGGTTGTTGTTTTTTCAGGGGTCCACCAGATTGTTGTTCCAAATCAACTGAAGGTATTGTCTTTTATTAGAATGATGTGTGTCTATGAACCACCGCGATTCTCATGGTGTTTGCTTCCTTCCCAGAAGTACTTCATCGTGATGCAGAGTGTATTCTACCCTGATGAAAGGATCAACATTAGGTACAGCCTGCAGCTTTCCCTCATCATGTCTAAGTGTTGATTCATGCGGTTTCAGGGATGTTTGGGTTTTACAGGTACGACATCAAAGGCTGTGAGGTTGGGAGGTGGACGGACCCTGAGGCAGGAGGAGAGCAAATCATAAAGGTGCTAAAGGACAACAACTTCAGAGGACAGAGCATTGCTTTAGGTGAGCGCTTCTTACTCAGCTTATTTCATCACAAAGTCTGCAAGTTAAACATAAATCTGAAATGAACTAATTTCATCTTGTTGTGAGATGAAGTTTGATCCTAATGTCTCTTTATCACATTCAGCTAAATATAAGACAAGCTGCTTAAGAAGCCTGGAAATACTTTAAGCCTCGGATGTATTGTTTGCAGTTGGTGGGTGGGAATGATAACTAAACATATGCAAAGGTGAACTTTGTTTTTGGTGGCTGTAGGACCAGAAAAGTCCTGGTTTGCCAGACAAGTCAAAGCTGATGCAGCTTTTCTCCAAGAGCTGAACGTGCTGGACTACAGCCTCCTGCTGGCCCACCAACCTCTGCATCAGGATGAGCTGGACGGCAAGCATTCCTTCGCCGACCTCATCCTCCGAACCACAAAGTAGGTTTATTGGAATTTGTAAAACCCTTTAAAGGTTAAAAGGAAAGTTTGACCTTTAGTTTCCTCCATTGAGTCATACAGAATCCAGTTACATGAATCCCAGTTTAATCCTAGTTGTAAAACAATACAGTGAAGTTCAATTTATTTCATGAGATTAGTTTAAAGTTTGTAAATCAGCTAGAAAACTATTTAAATTTTTTGTACAAAAATAAAATTATCCCCCTCACTGACACTTTCAAACTAACAAACATGAAATATTATCAGCAATCTGTGACTTATTACTAAAATTTAAAGGGAAGCACAGTATAGTTTCACATGATGGCTTTTCATGAGGACACACAGGGCAATACTGTGTAAATTTAATATAATATGATGGAGAAGTGTACAGTAAAATAAGTTCTTCATTATGTTGACGGACCGCGAGGGCTAGATCTGGGTCACCTTACCGCCTACAGCTGGAAGCAGATATAAGGAGTTGGGGGTTTGGGCACCAGGGCTTTGTCTTATACACTAGTAGCCATTCAAAATTTCTCCACTGTCCTTGATGGGTCCTTGGCTGATCCCCCTATAATTACTTTTTAAACATCAGTATTTGTACTAAAATATTCTTTCTGTCATTATTCGTGGACATTAAAATCTAAAGAAAAGCATTATCTCCTGGTCAGACCCTGTAATTCAGTGAAAGGGTGGAGTCAGAGTGAAAAAATATGCAAGAGAGGGTCGCTTAAGTGGCTGGAAGTTGGAGGGGATTTTACTGGGAGTTGCAGGGAAGTGGGCCGCCATTCGGATGCTGTTTGACTGGTAAGGGCCATTTTGAATGGCTGCTACTGCATAGGTTTATGGTTCATCAAGTTATGGTAAAAAGTAATACTGTAAAAGTGACGTACAAAAGAAATGCATGGCTAAAAAAAAACACATCCTCCCTCATGAGCATCATTGTAATTGATTTTAGATCTGGTCACCCGAACTCCAAATAACAAGGAGGTTTTAGTTAGAGAATTTCATTCACATCTGCAGCTAGATGAACACTAGAACTGACCCCCATCAGTCCTCTCTGAGCAGAGTAGTTCTCCTCCTAACCTCCAAACTTTCCACACATTAAAACCCAAAATCATCCATATAGTGAATCCAGCCAACAATCAAAACAAAGCAGCCTGTAACCGAATGGCTGTTAGTCTGCTGTGAAGAAATCCATGAGAATCAGGTTTATCCTGTGGGTCAGGGCCACCTGTGTGTGTTGATCAAACCCAATCAGAAACACCTCTTCACAATAACAACCTCTTCCTGGACTGTTTTCTTCTTCACCTCCTGTAGATCTTTGGACCTGGAGGACCATCCCACAGACCCAGATCCCTCCCATGTCCCCTTACTGCACAGTCGGAGTGAAGATGTTCAGGATGGTGCTGGCTGTGGGTCTGAGGGCCCTGAACCGACCCAGGAGACGATGTGTGATGTAGAGCTGAAGGAATTCCACGAACATAATCGAAGACTGTTGCCAAACTTCAAGAATGCGATTCATGTGATAGACGGAGCAGACCGCCGCTACTTTGTGGGCATAGTGGACATTTTCACAGTTTACAGTCTGAGGAAAAGACTGGAGAACCTGTGGAAGAAGCTTCGCTTCCCTGGCAGAGATTTTTCTACTGTCAGTCCTGTAAAGTACTCCCAGAGGTTCTGCAGGTGGATCCAGCAGCATACTCAGTGACTCAATGGGACAGATATGATTTGTTTTCTGGTTCCAGTTGTTGACTTGTTGTTTTTTATATCCATTTTGGTCCAAATAGCTTTTTGATAATGCTTTTTTTTTATCAAATAAAACAGATGAATCATTATTTTAAATAAAAAATGCTGTATCTGTTCTCAGGTTATCTTTAGTTGATGCACTGTAGCCTAAATCTATTAGGTTTGCTGTTATTTCTATGGTAGCTTGGCCGCTACTGGAGTGCTCTGTTGTTTTCCATCAGTTTGATCCCGTTACTCTCCCTTTACTGGAGAAAGTAGCAAACAGTATTAAACCCTCTGGCACGGTCCTGGATATTATTAATTCTAGTCTCTCTACCGGTGTGGTCCCTATAGCATTTAAACATGCAATAGTGCAGCCCCTTGTCAAGAAGCCTGGACTTGACCAAAAGGTGTTGGCAAACTTCCGCCCCATATCCAAGTTGCCATTTTTATCCAAAATCTTGGAGAAAATAGTGTTTAATCAATTAAAGGCCTTTTTAGATGAACATAATTCATGGGAGGTTTTTCAATCTGGTTTCAGAGTTCTTCATAGCACTGAGTCAGCTTTATTGAAAGTTTTTAATGACATTTTACTCGCATCTG